TTTCAAATCTAGATCCATATCTCTTCGTTATTGGCTTGCTTGGACTGTTGTCCTCTTCATATTTATTTGCTTGGTGGTGGTGGTGGTGTTCTCTTCAAATTCATTTTGCTGATGCCTTCGTCGTTGATCATGACGACGATGATGCCGCCTCTTCAAAGCCCTCCTCTATTTCCTCATTTCATCACTCTGGTCACGAGGTGTGGTGAATAATTTGAAAATCTATGTTTCATTTTGTGCTATGGTTTAGGGTTTCTCAGAATTAATTTCTAATGAGATTGTGCTTTGAATCTTGGACACATAGAGCATATAAAGAGATTTATTTTGTTTTATTTTTGAGTTTTTAGAGAGTGAGTAAGAGAGAAAGTTGAGGTGAATTTTCCCTAGAAATTGAGGAATACAGAGAGTATAAGGCTTTCATTTTTTTTTTCTCCAGAAATTGAGGTATAGGACAAATCCACCTCAAATTTGTTCAAAAATGATATATCCACCTCCGATCTATTTCTGAGGGTTTCATTCAACAAAATCTTTATTTATTTTTTATTTTTTAATGTTGATGTTGATGTTGATATTGATGTTATTGTTGATGATGATAATGATAATGATGAACAAATAGGATTTTTTTTTTTTTTTTTTGCCAGGCCCTGTACTGTGTTTTACTGGATTACTGTTAGGCAGGCCTTCAGTAATCCCGGATTACTGGCCGGTTACGGTGCTAAACCCATAGGGCCGGGTTTGGGTCGTGACAGATCTGGTTGTTGTTGTTGTTTAATTTTTTTTCAAATCTGGTTGATGATGATGATGATGAAGAAATAGATTACAACAATTTTTAAAAAAAATGATAGATAAGACATATTTTTTTTGAATAGATACGTTCCAATTTTGAATAGATAAATTTTGCTTCAAGAAACAAAATCAAACAGATAATAACTGAGCCAAGAACAAAAAGTCCTCTTGAAGAATTTGAACAAATAGGAAAAATAAATTCTTATTTTAATAGATAAAAAAATTGAATAGATAGAAGAAAAAAAAAATTTGAATAGAAAAAATGAATAGATAGGAAAATATTTGAACATATAATTTAAAAAATTAAACAGATAGTTAAAAAATTGAATAGATAATAAAATTTAAACAAATAAGTAGAAAAAATTGAATAAATAGATGTAAATTTGAATAGATAATCAAAAAATTTGAACAGATTGATGTAAAATTTGACCAGATAATCAAAAAAAAGTCAACAGATAAAAAAATTAATAGATAAATTAAGGGGTAAAATTAAAAACAAAATAACTTTTAAAATAAATAAAAAGATTTCTTACCAAATTATTTCATAAAGGGTGAATCTTTCACCAATAAAAAATATTCACTGAATCTAATACTTTATACTCTTTTTAGATTGGATTTATCACTAATTTTTTTTTGAAATAAATAAATTATCAAATTAAAATTAATTATAGCCAGCATAATATTTGATTATAAAGTGGAACAGGGGTCCCTGCTGTGCTCAAAGCATAGCAGTGATTGTGGTGCCTCCATTTAAGGTGTATTATGGTCTTATTTTTATGATCTAAACCGTTCATATTGTAGGATTTGTTGAGTACTTCATGCCTACCAAAAATTATGTTAATCGGATATCAATAACTATATGATCGAACTGCATATTGTTTATGTTATTTCTGAAAAGAAAAACTTATTATTTATTTTTTGGATTATCGATCATATAGTTCTTGATATCCGATTAATATGATTTTTGATAGGCATGAAGTACTCAACAAATCCTGCAAAATAAACGATTTGGATCATAAAAATAAAATCATAATACACTTCAAATGGAGGCACTATAATCACTGCTGTGTTTTTGAGCACAACAGCAACCCATTTTCCTTATAAAGTGGTGTTAAGTATGAACGCAATGTATCTAGTCATTACTTGTGAGGGCAAATTCAACTGGATGTGATACTTCTTGTACTTAAATGACTGACGTGACACTTTCTTTCTGTTTTGCAAGTGCGATTCTTCTTTAATTTGTCTTCTTGAAAAAATGAGCCGTAGCTCGAAAATCTTGACTCGAAATTGGCTCGAATGTCGTTTTGGGCCTGAAACATTTTCATTACTTAAAAAAGACTACTACAGAAACTCATACAGGTGCCGTTTGGGAAGGGAAGGTTGGGCTATTTTAGCCATTACTGGATAAAAAAAAGGCTTAATTAGCCAAAAGAAGATAAAAGCTTGTCAGGAGCTTTGTGACTCACAATGCCAAGGTAAATTTACAAAACTATCCCCACATAAAAGAGGGGCATCGGTTCAGCACACACAAAGTAAAAAAAAAAATCTTTTCCCAAAAAAAACCTTTTCCTAGAAAAAATAAAGAAGTTGAAAAAAAAAATTAAAAACAGAAATTAGCATTTGCAATGTAATTTAAAAATAAATAAAACACATGAAAAATCATTTTTCAAAAATAAAAATAAATTAATGTTTACAAATACAAATAAAAATAACAATGACAAAAACGTAAATTAAAAAAAAAAGAACTACAAAAATACGCCTTATCCAAAAAATAAAAACAGAAATTAGCATTTTTCACGTAATTTAAAAATAAATAAAACACATCAAAAACTATTTTTGAAAAATAAAAACAAATTAATGTATACAAATAAAAATAAATTAAGTCAAAAACGTAAATTAAAAAAAAAAAGAACCAGAAAAATACGCCTCAGCCAAAAAATAAAAAAATAAAAACAGGCTTTAGCATTTTCCACGTAATCTGTGACGAGATAATCCAACAACTGTTCACCCAATCTGTGACGAGGAAGAGGCTATGACAATAGTAACATTGGTAACACACGTGTAACAGACTGTATTCAAATATATTGTCATGTACAAGTAGAATGTGTTTACACGGGAATATACCCCCTTTCTGTTGGTGACGTGCCTAACTTTGGAAAATCGAAAACCACAGAAAAAAGCCTTTTCGAAAAAGAAAACAAGGTGAAACAAATAAGAAAAAAAAAATAATACATAAATTATCATGTGCGACGTCAATTAAAAACATAAAAACACAAGTTCAAAACAACAAAAAACCAAAGCAGACCTCATTTTTTGTCATGTGCCACGGCAATATATGATTTTTCACATCATTTTAAATAAATGACATAAAAAAATGTGTTCCCAAAAAAACCAAACAAATTAAAAACAAAGTAAAAAATAAAAAAAATATAAAAGTAAAAAACATGAATTACCATTTGCCACATAGTTTAAAAATAAGGAAAACACATGAAAAACCATTTCTGAAAACTAAAAACAAATTAATGTATACAAATTAAAAAAAATTACAAAAATGTAAATTCAAAAAAAAAAAGAACGACAAAAATACGCCTCCTCCAAAAAAAGAAAAAGAAAAAAGAAATGATCATTTGCCATGTAATTTACAAATAAATAAAACATATGAAAACCCATTTTTCAAATATAAAAACAAATTAATGTGTACAAATTAAAAAATGAAAAAAACGTATATTAAAAAAAAAATACGAGAACAATACGCCTCATTCAAAAATATTTTTTAAAAAAAACATAAAAACATAAATTACCATTCGCGGCGTAATTTAAAAATAAATAAAACACATCAAAAACTATTTTTGAAAAATAAAAACAAATTAATGTATACAAATAAAAATAAATTAAGTCAAAAACGTAAATTAAAAAAAAAAATAAACTACCAATGTACTAATATTACAAGTGAAAACTAAGAAATCTTAACAAAAAGAGGATGATTACCTTGAAAAAGTGTTAAGAAAAAGGATGAAGAAGAGAAGATTTAAGATTCACTGAAAAAAATGGCCATCGGAAGGTCGCCAGTCGGAGAGGATGGTGATACTCTGGTGGGAAGGTGGTGGTGAGAAAAGGTGGGGTGAAGGTTGAAGGAAGAAGGGTTGGTGATGATGGGGTTTGATGGGATTGTGAGTTAGAGAGAGAGAGAGAGAGAGAACAAAGAAGATATGAGAGGTAGAGAGAGAGTGTGCTGGGAAGAGATAGTCAAAAGAGAGCTAGGGTTTCGTTTAAAGAATTTTTTATTTTATTTTTTTGAAGAAAGAGAAATAAAATAAGTAAATAAAAAGAAATGAATACATAAATAAATAATATGCACAAAATTATTATTATTTTCTTTTCTTTTTTTTTTTAAATAGGCCACTCGTGCGCCCATGTGGGCCGCACATGCGTTGAATTATGAGTTGCACCACTGCATGAGCGGTGAATTATGAGCCACACTAGCAGCAAAATTGGGCCACTCCAGCGGCTGTGAAGCAGAATGGTTTTGGGCTTGGGCTGCTTGTGCGGTCTAGGCCTTCGCTCGTGCACCCATTTTTTTATTTTTTTATTTTTTTGGGTGGACCACTCATGTGCCCATGTGGGTAACGGCTCTCAAGCATAATGGTTTTGTGCTAGGGCCACTCATGCGCTTGACGCTCCGCTCGGGCGCCCAATTTTGGGACTGGCCGTACGTGCGGTCTACTTCTTTTTAATTTTTTAACACAACTACAACCATTCCATCCCCCAACCTAATTTGTATCTTTATTTCACATTCAAAATAAGAATAACACTTTGAAAACATTTAAAAGCTCAATAAGGGTATAATCTTCACGCGAAAAACATAGGTACCACTTTGCTCCCTAACAATATTTGTAACTTTTCCTATTCTCCAACAGGGTGACAGACTAGGTTGATTTGGTATCCAAAATTGAGGCACATAAAGCTAACTCAACCTATGGAGCTACCATACAGAGTTCAAGTCGATGTGGTTTTGAAGCAATCTCCACGCCCCTGGGTATTTAAACTAGACTTTAGTCTCAGAAATTCCAAACCTTTGCATTCTAGGCTTTGCCATTTAACTCTAATTTCCACTGTCTCAGTTTATCTCCTAGGAACTCTCTATAAACACAGTTAGGTGGCTATACCAGACTGTCAGATGCCGTTTGGGCACGGCTAACACCAAAGAAATTACGCCTTTAGAGGATTTTAAGTCTCCTAGACTCAAAGCAATTATGATGGAAGATATATTGGGTCTGCAAGTGGACAACCTCAATCATCTCCCCTCTGTTAATACCATCCACATAATGTTTCAATCTTTGGCCATTTACCTCAAAGGTCGTACCATCTTTTGGATTTTTAATCTCAACCGCCCCATGCAAAAATACTTCGATGACGTCATATGTGCTATCCCACTGAGACCAAAGTTTATCCCAAGATAACTACAAATTGGCATTGACCATCCATACTTTTTGGTGACGCTCGAAGAACTTACGAGAAATGTGTTTATCATGAAATACCTTAGTCCTAGCCTTGTAAATTTTGGAGCTCTCATATGTATCAATGCGGAGTTCCTCTAACTCATTAAGTTGGAGTTTGTGATGGTCACTGTCTTTGGCCATATCAAAACTGAATTTCTTAATGGCCCACAAAGCCCAGTGTCCTAACTCAATAGGGAGATGGCACGCTTTTCCAAACACAATCCTATATGGAGACATCCCGATAGGTGTCTCATATGCAGTGCGATAGGCCCAAAATGCATCAACCAGCATAGTGGACCAATCTTTCCTATCAGGCCTCACAGTTTCTCGAGAATATGTTTGACTTCCTGTAGACGTCCCCGGAACGCCCCGGGAGGAACGAGCTCCCGTTCCGTTCATTTTGGGGTCACTACAGCTCAGGACTCTCAAATTGTCACGGTTCTAAGTCTGAACCAAAGAGTCCAAATCCGGCAAATCGTTTTGAGAAAACTGATTTTTGAAAGAAGTGCCAAACATGGACTGCTTTGCCAGATACAGAGTCGCCACCTAAATATTTTATTTTGGGAAATTTAGGAAACCCTGACTCGGTGCCAAAAGGCCACGCGTCCGTCATCACCAAAGTTGCCTCGGCTCGGGAACTTGGATACGATTGGGGAAGGTCACTTCGTGAGCACCCCCGCTCGCCCGGTCATAGACCGGCCTCTACTAACCACGATATCAATTTTTGAAAACATTGTGAATTCTTATTCCGGTTATTAGCCTAGGTTACTATGTGATGCACACAGCATATAAGTATAGACTGGGTCGTCCGAATTGGAACAAAACATTTCATGCTTGTTTATTTGAAAATGGTTTGCTCACACCGCAGGTAGGCTTGAAACAAATTTGATGATTATTCAATTCAGATAACCCACCTTCACCCACAGGCATTCAGGCAGTTATATCACATAAGCACATAGCCTCATGGTAAGCATGCTATTCGTGGCAGTCACTCACACGTATGCAAGGATGCTAAAGCATAAAAACTCAGCGAGTACTCCAAGCCAAAACAGAAACTACATTAGAAATCATGCATGATCCTAAGTATACAGAAATGCCTAATGCAACACATGCAAAAATGCAACTATAGCAGGCTCGGCTATTCTAAACATGGCATATGAGATGCAACAGCTAACAAGTGTTCAACTTTGAAATTAAAATACAAATGCAGTTAGTATGATGCGCCGAGCCCGGTGCATGCAATACAGATGAATGAATGCAAACATGCTATCATACTGTATGCTAATTGAAATATGCCCTAATCTAACCATCATAAGCGGATAAATAAAAGGGAGAAAGACGTGGGGTTAGAAGACATACAACGCACACACGCACACATGCACACTTATTACAGTTATGCCCTCGCGCAGAGGGTCCGAATAAATAGTACAGTCTCAAATAAAAGAATATTACATTCCAAATAAATATTACAGTCCAAATAATATACAAATTCCAAATTAATTAATCAAATTGACTAAGAAAGCTGTAAAACTGGCGTGCAAGCCAGGGACTGCCTTGCTTCTGATGCAAATGACGGATGATGCATGTCAATGAAACACTGGCTGTCCGTCAATTAGATCCTCAGATCGATTGAGTCGAAGCATAGGTATGGCAAAAATGGCATGCAAGAATAGGGGCCAAAAGAGGGGTAATGAGTTTTGCTGCAACAGAGAGCAGGAAAGGGGCATAGCAATGTATTTGCACAGATATATGCATGTCTCGATCCTCGTGCCACCAATCACGCATACCGAGGCATGATGGCCGAGGAGTCGAAATGCACAACTCAATATAGGATGAATGCATATGAAACTACAGCTAAAACCAAACTCCATCATGGATAATCCGGAGTGTCGGTGACTGGGGAATTGAGACACATTCCGTCACTCGGAGTACGAAATGTACCTCGCTTCCCGTGTCCGGGCTAAATCCTATTCCGGACACGATGCAATATGCATGATATGCATGAAATGCAACTAAGATACAATCCTAACATACACAATGCCATGAAAATGATATGCCTCGAAATGCGTGCACACGGGCACGCAAACCGAGAAAATGACAGAATGTAATCTAAGATACAACCTAGTATGCACTATGCTGTGAAAATGATATGCCTCGAAATGCGTGCACACAGGCACGCAAACCGAGAAAATGACAATGCGATCTAAGATACAACCTAGCATGCACTATGCTGGAAAAATGAGGTGCCTCGAAATGCGTGCACTCGGGCACGCATAGGTGGGACTGGCCCTGCTTAGCATGAAATGACATGGAAATGACAAATGGGCTTATACCAACATGAGTGAGCCTCAGCCACACTCACATCGGATGCCAGCGGATAAAAATGGAGTGCCTCGAAATGCGTGCACACGGGTACGCAAACCGTGGCGATGATAAAATGTGATGAAATGACATGGAAATGACAAATGGGCTTATACCAACATGAGTGAGCCTCAGCCACACTCACATCGGATGCCGGCGGATAAAAAATGGAGTGCCTCGAAATGCGTGCACACGGGCACCAAACCGAGGCGATGATAAAATGTGATGAAATGACATGGAAATGACAAATGGGCTTATACCAACATGAGTGAGCCTCAGCCACACTCACATCGGATGCCGGCGGATAAAAAAAGAGGTGCCTCGAAATGCGTGCACTTCCACGTATTCCTTCATGTACTTCATATAAAAAATCTTCAATTTGTGAGGGATGTACACACCTTAAAAGGGGTCTAGTGAAGGATCTTTTGTAGAGATGTCCATCTGCTGTTAGACTGAATCTTGCCGACTTCAATATGATCTTGTGTGCCTCTTTGTGATCATCTGGCAGTTTTTCGTCTTTCAGGAATGTTATTATTGTGTCCATCCAGCTAGGTCCCATGTCCACACACATTGCTTCACGCTCCGTTGTCAGTGGTTCGATGCTCGAGCCCGACAAATAGTCAACCATTATCGTTCTTGCTTTTCCAGGTTATATTGCACTAGCCAAGTTGGCAAGGGCATCGGCGTGACTGTTATCATCTCGGCTAACCTGTTGCATTCGACAATTCTAAAATGGCATGCAAGAATAGGGGCCAAAAGAGGGGTAATGAAGCAAGCGATATAAGCAAAACCCAAACTGAAAAATTTCCTTCTACAACACTGAAGTGGAACCAAAAATATGAATATTTACAGTATATGGAAAGCTTCGGATCAATATACAATCATGCTAAAAATGCAATGCAAAATGAGGCTCAAAAATGGCTATAACATGAAGTATGCAAAATATTCACCAAACAGTCAAAGATCCTTAATGAAACATGTAGAATGGGCCAAAATAGGACTATTTTCAGAACTGTAAAATGGACAAAAACAAAAGCATGGTAGGCTAACTAAACATGCAAGAATGGGGAATAAAAGAGAGATATAACATGAAGTGGCATATGGAGGTCTCAAACCATGAAAGGATCTAAATGAAAAATGAAGAATGGACCAAAATAAGCACCTTTTCAGAATTGGAAAATGGCCAAAAACAAAAGCATGGTAGGCTGCCATTGCATGCAAAAATGGGACCAAAAGAGGAGTATAAAGGTAAGTACAACATGAAAGTCCCAAATAGTATTGGGCCCTTCTTCAATGTTGAAGAGGGGCTCAAAATAAGCCTAATATCAGTTTATAACATGCTCAAAAACAGATTACTCATGGGCCAAAAATAGCATGCAAAATTATGACATATAAGAGGATCAATGAAGCAAGTGTATCATGGAGGGCTCAAACAGGGTTGAGCCCTTAATGAAAAGTGAAGATGAGCTCAAAAGAGGGCCCTTTTCAGTTAGGGCTGGAGCTTGAAACAAAAAGCAAGTGGGGCTTACAAATGGATCAAGAAAAAGGGTCAAAAGAGTAGAAGTATTACTTACCCTTGAAGACTAAGGCTTTGGTTGCTTCTTGGACCAATTTGCAGCTCCTTTTGCCTTTGAGAAACCTTCCTTGTTGCTGGAAATGAAGTGGTGATGGTAGAACTTGGTGGTGTAGAAGAAATGGTGATTCTTAAGGTTTTTTTAGAAAATGAGAGGGATAAAGATGGCTTTGTGTATGGATGCTTGAAGGTAAAGTTTTCTAACCCCAACAAAGGATATATCTTGCTTGCTATATAGGCCAACAAGGGGGTGTAAAGGTGGGGGAAAAGGAGACAAACTTTCCCCCACAAAATATCCCCCGGATAAATATCTTTTCTGGGGGATAAAGCTCCACAGCTGTAAAGTGCACAGTGCCAAGATCTCGGCCGGCCAGTTACTTTTGCTCCAGGTGGCCGGCCGGCCACACCCCCTAGCCGGCCGGCTAGGGGTCAAAAGGTTCAATCAGATTTTCTGGCCGGCCACCAACTGATGGTGTTCTCCTATGTGTGTACAACACAACCATGTGGTTAAAAGTCCAAGAAAGTGGGTCCAAGGGGTTCAACATTAGCTCGGAAAAAGGGGGTCAAAAGGGTCAAGTAGAATTACTGGCCGGCCACCAACTTTTAGGGTCCTCCCGTGTGTGTACATTACAAATATGTAGTTCAAAGTTCGAGAAAATGGGCCCAAGGGGTTCAACATTAGCCCGGAAGGAGGGGGTCAAAAGGGTCAAGCAGCATTAATGGCCGGCAACCAACTTTTAGGGTCCTCCCATGTGTCTACATCACAAATATGTGGTTCAAAGTTCGAGAAAATGGGCCCAAGGGGTTCAACATTAGCCCGGAAGTGCGAAAAACGGGTGCCGGAGGGCGCCGGAGGATGTATAACTGGTTGCTGCAACAATTGTTGGCCTCCTACCCTTCAGTGACCTCCCCGGTGATAAAACAGAGGTACCTGCCAAAAATGAACAAAAATCGTTGCAAAATGAAAGTTCCGGGGCCAAAACACGCAGTTCGGGGTCCCGAAAATGGGCTGTTAAGCACCGAAAGTGGCGTTCGGCCACGAAGTGGGTTTCTCAGACCCCAGTGTCCCTCAAAAGGGAGCAAATAAGATGTATGCCAAAAATCAGAACAAACGGAGGTGGTTAGGCGGTCCCGAACCGAGGCACACGGCCTGACGGCTCCGAAAACCGGGAACCGGACTCCGAAATGGGCAAAATGGCCTACGGCCACCAAATGTAGCCTGCGGACATTGAGAGATGGTCTACTGGACCTCTCCCTCCCCCAAGGCAGCCCCAAAATAAGCATTTTACCAGTACAAATCATGGCCAAACAGCAAGCAAAGATAGGGCAACAATGGTATGCAAAAATAGGGGCCAAG